GTGCTTCTTAACCGATCTTCTACAGTATCTACATCTTTTAGTGCCATAGAATATTTGGGTATTCTCAAAAACTCAATTGCATTTAAGTTGTGGCTTATATTGGTGGACAGCAAAAATTGGTTTATTTACTTGCTTTATAAGTAGCTATGAGGTGGTAGCGGGGAGGTGGTGATAGCTATAAAATGACAGATACTTGATATATATGTACTATTCTAGAAGCTATATGTCCAGTTTGGTGACTCTAGCTGTTATTATTTACCAAAATTGCTCAAAGAACAGGATTTCGATATCGATTTTTATCGGGTACTTGGAAACGGGGCAAGTTATCGAACACTGGAAACAAACTCGATCTGCGCGGGGACTAGGAAGACCTACAGCTAAAATTTCAAGTCTCCTTGCGTTCACACGTACGGACAGACGGACAGACGGACGGACAGACGGACGGACGGACGGACGGACGGACGGACAGACGGACGAACGGACAGACAGACGGACATGGCTAGATCGACTCTGCTGATCTGCTGATCAAGAATATATATACTTTAGAGGGTCGGATATGCTTCCTTCTGCCTGTTACATACATTTGCACAAATACATTATACCTTTTTTACCCATTTTTAAAGGGTTCAGGGTATAAAAATATTGAAATAAATCCATCAAAAAGCAAGTTCCTAATACTTATGTGTATAATTAATGTGTTCCGGCCGAACATCCAAATTGAAACTATCCAATTTTGCTTAAGTGAGAGAACTAAGCTGTTGGTCGTCTCTTTTTCTCTCTACCCTCCCCACCATGACAAGCAACAAAAAGAATGGGATGTGGATGCTTGTCCCTAACATGGGTACTTAACAGATAAAGTCAAGGAATAAGGGTATCATATCAGATAGGCTAATATAATTCATGTATTAAGGAGTTGTTTGTTCTCAAGCATGATTCCAATGAATAGATAGGAAGGTATAAGTCGATTAACAAATGATTTGAAAATTTAAAGGTAAAATTAATATAAGGTCATAAGCTACCAATGTACAATAATTAGTGTAAAGCATATAAAAAAAAAGGTAAGAGGAGAAATGCACCAACATTATTTTAGAGATACGACGGATGGGAATTAATTTTCCGTCTTTATTTATATATATTTATATATTTATAACTCACTGTGAGTACTTAATCGCCCTCACGCAATATCCTTCCAAGCAGACGTTTAGCCCAATGTGTACGACAAGTAGGATCGCTGTTGCTAAATATTACAAAAGAAATTTATAAGTTCATAAACACATGTATATATATGAGCAGCGATCAAGATCAATGGGTTGGGAATTTCCTCTCGCGGTAGCCCTTTCAGCCCAATTCATTGCATAGTTTTACAAAAATGCAAAAATTATTAAAAACAACTAAAGAACTCTTGACCGTCAATTTTGGTAATGTCAAATAAATAGTTCAATTACATGTTAATGGCTTCTTAGCAAGCAAAAGGTAACATCAAAAGGTAATACAGCCTCCTCCGATACTGGCTACAGGTTACACTAAACGCTTAGTGCATGGGCAAAAAATTGGTCCTACTGGGTTGCAAAGTGCTGCACGGGCTCTTGGTGCTGCCCTTGTCTGTTCCGATCTCCACTTCTGGCAGCACGTCTAAATATGCACGATGTTCTCTGTCACCAAGCTACTGACTTGTGATACTGCTCTGGCCAACAGAGCAGGTACGAAAACTGTGGAAGCCTTAATTGGTTCTAGGTCGCAACACTAGCACATATAAATACCTTTTCTTTAACGCACACCCTGAATCTTATTTAAATTATTGAGTCCAGTTACTATGAAGGTTTTTGTTTCTATTAGCTTACCAAAAGAACACTTCAAAACTTGCATCACAATTCGAATCTTGTTCTATGAAGTCTAGAGCATAGTCTATGGACTCTTAATTATGCGAAAATTACTTGCAATAGAAAAGTATATGACCTAAACTTGCCCACGCTTTAGTTATAAATGGCATGCTGTGCTGTATTTTAACCATCACTACTTGCTCACAGTACTTGTTCACAATAAAGCACTTCAACAATTTTATTGAGACCTCGATCTGCAAAGAGCTTATCAATTATATTAATGTCATTCACTTGGAAACGTAACAAAAAACAACGTAAAAGAGATTTAAGCCATTTTAGCTCAAGCATTTTCTGACGCCGGTATACACGAGTTTATATATCAACCCAATATACTCTTCTTATATTTGTGATAGGGTATATATATAAATCAAAACGCGCCTTAGCAGAAAAAAATGTTTAAATTCGAGCATAGATGATGGATCCCTCTTCCGGGGTCGAATTCGCATCTTACCTTCAACACCAACCAAACTGCTTGCTATCGTTTCATAACCTTATCAAGAGTCTTACTTTAGCGAAATAAAACTCAATTAAAATTGAAGCACATGCGACATGTGCGGTTGTGTCAGGGATGTGGGCGGGGCTGAGGCTGTGGCTTTAACTATAAAGCTATGAAAGATACTTGATCTAAATACTATTGTACATATACAATACTATTCTAGTCTCGGGAAAAGTTATCAAATATTTCAAACTGCGCGGGCGGAAGGAGGACCTACGTTCAAAATCTGAAGTCTCTAGATCGTATATAATATCATATCATACACCTTTTTGAGATCAAAGCGTTCACACATACGGGTAGACGGGCAGAAGGATGGACAGGCGGACATGGCTAGAAAGACTTGGCTATTAATGCTGATCAAGAAAATATAAACTTCTTATGGGGTCGTTGCTGCTTCCTTTCGCCTGTTACATACATTTGCAAAGAACCAGTATACCCTTTTTATTTATTTGGGTTATAAAAAAAAAATGAAAAAGCAGGAGAATGCAAGTCGCCAGATGATAAGCGCAGTCGAGCACTATAAAAAGGCCTGACTGTGTATAGGTGGACATAGTTGACTGAGAACGCGAGATGACGTCCAAGCTACTTTTACGTGAGAAATTTTATGTGAGAAAAATCTTTGGAGAATTGCATTTAATAAACTGATCTCTCTGATTCACGTAGCGACGGCGGCTCAACTGCACGGATATTGTTCGTTTAGACGAAACGATGTCGTGAATTCTAATGTCGTCTTCACCTATGTCGATAGCGAGGGCCACTTCCAGCTGCAAAGGAGAGAAACTGTTGACGAAGGTGTTACAGACGTTTCCATCCGTTACTGCCGCGGACCTGTAAAATTCCATTTGGTGGCCCCAGTGTCGTGGAGGTGCCTAAAACCGACTACGATTCCTGTAAAGATGCCATGTATTCCGTTAGATATGTAATTGACAATCAAATCCTGGAGCTGTACCGCGCCTGCTACAGTCGACGAGATGTACGCGCATTCTTCTCGGAGGCCACCATCTACCCAAAGTCAATCTGTAAGTGTGAGTTGCTCATCAGGATTTTGTTAACTAAAGCAATTCTTGGCTCTATTAAATTTGAAGCATGACCATGAGATGTTTTCTACTGATAAACTGATTAGCCCCTTCATGGAAAGATCATTTTCGAAACGTTCAGTTTACGAGTATTTTAAGAGTCGCTTTGGCCGCTTACAGCGATATGTAAATCATGAACATGATCAGATTCTAGATCGAGGCCACTTGACCCCCTGGCCGACTTTCTCTTTGTGGACCAGTGTGACAGCACCTACAAGTACTTGAATGTAGTGCCGCAATTTCAAAGCATCAACAACGGCAATTGGAACAAAAAAGAAGAATGGGTGCGCACTCAAATCCCCTTCAACTCGTTGCTGCACGTGCGCACCGGTGCTCTGGAGGTGTTGAAGCTGAAGTACGCAAGTCCGAATGGCAAAGAGAAATTAGTCTATCTCTACGATGATGACAAAAATCCTGTGCCAAAGTGGATGTACAAGCTGGTGCGGGACGCGAATAATCAACCAATCCATGCTATCATTACCTACAACAATATATTTGAAACCCGTCGACCGCCAGCACCAGCAACTTACTGCAAGACCGAAATCCCATGCTCCATGCATTTAGAACCGATGGCTGTCGAGGGCTTTACCTTCTGTTGTGATCCGGCAAGCTTTGTTCACTCCGAACCATGAGATTCCATTTGAGGATCAACTGCGCCTATCTCATGGCTAAAAAAATTAAGTCTTATGTGCTGAAAATGTATATTTTTTGAACATTTTTATTTTAGCAATAAAAAGAGATGTGTATATACATGATAAGTTTGAGCTGATTTATTGATTGTCTGACTGTTTAGTGATCAATGCCCACAACCAAAAAAACTCGGAAGCTGACATATTTACAGAAGATTGCTTTTGGCTCGAAAGTGAGCATTATGGCTGCCATTTGATTAGTTTGTCCCCGACACCAGCGTCGAGCTGCCATTACAAACAGTCAAACGTTCTTCTATCAAGAGTTGATTATAAACTATTCTGAGCATCGCTTAAACTACGTTTTTACCTATTTAATGGGTAAAGGGATTAAATCAGCCTTATTAAAGGAAATAAAATAAAAATGAATTTCCTCTACGAGGTTCCAACTCGACCCCATCCCCTAAATCAATCTCTTGGTATAATACAAAATCAACTCTGTCTAGTTCTGCCTGTTAAATTATATAGTATATTTGCTCAAAATCTATCTGCTAAATTAATATAATAAGTTCAGGTTCTCAGAAAGCGAATAAAATGATTAGGTTATGATTGGGCTAGACATGTTATTCCATATATTTAATTTTGACATATTTAAATTGAGCATGGGCTTAACTACTCCAGAAAAGGAAAGCATATTTTATAGAACATGTTACCTGATTATAGGTTATCAGTCTGATTATAGGTTGAGTCTCTCGCATGGAAAGCATCCAAGAAATTTTAAATTGCAACTGGAACTGATAACATAGTTCATCTCAGAATTACCGACCTTGCTTCTCAGCCCGAATACAATTCCATAGAATAGACAGAAGTCGCGGCAGAATAAAACAATATTTTTCAGTTTTTAGATGCCTTTTGAGTTTCTGAGACGACGGTCAGCTCATTCTTTGTGATTTTTAGTCGAATTCAAAATGTAGTAGGATACAATTTTTTAGCTGACGGTCCCGCCGAAGGATTTTACGTATACTTATAGGCAAGTTCTAAGTAAAAATATATATTTAAGGTGTATATTAATTGAATATTTGAAAATAGTTATGCGTTCTAGATTATATACATATGTGGCTTTATCTGCTATAAATGTAAATCTGAGCGAGAATAATTTTGTATTAAGAAGTATTTCAAAACATTGTTTAATACAAATATCTATTAGCAGCAAGTGTTGGAAGAATTATCTGGCCAGTCTGGAGAAGGGGACTGCACTTTAAAATGTAAGTAATTTGTTATTATTTTCTGGTATGTATTATATCATACACATTCTGAAAGTGTGTCTCAAACTTATTCTGATTTTATAGATTAAACAGCCATTATGCGGAGATGAAGCACATTCAAAATAACTTTTCAGCTATTAATGCTGTATTATTGCCCAACTGGATTAGATTTATGGGGTTTAAGTCGAGCTTGAATTGGTTGTTGTCTTAATCAAAGAACAAATTGACTTGAAATGCTTAGCTCTTATAATTATTTCCTACAACTTCTTAGATTTTGCATAGATATATTCATTATCTATATGCAAAGGTATCTTGCATTTATGCAAATAATTTCTTTATTTATCACTGAAAAACTAAAACTAATATTGTTTTTGATCGTCGCGTCTTGTATTCTATTGGTATTGGTTTTACCGCTTAGTAACTTACAGTGCGAATTTTCTTCAATACCGAAACTTCTTTCTGGTAAATCTAATAAATTTCTATAAATATTTTAGCAATAGCTCGCGCATAGTCTATCCAATTGTTTTGGTAATTCAGAGGCTTGTAGTGAGAGTTTTAAAACTTTGTAGCAATACGAAGCGCAATGTTTTTTCTTTTATTATTTCTTCATATTTATAATATTTTAAATACTCGTTTATAGCAGTATGTTGCACACTCAGATTTTCGATTTCCTTGAAAGAAATTGGTAATGTATTGTCTTAATAATGCATTTTACAATATACATCGCATTTCTGTTGAATTGCAGTCCATGCATGCATTTTTTCTAGGCGCTGTAAAAATGGTTCCATTTCGCTTGAATTATACTGATTTTTCTTAACATAATCATCGAAATTTTTACAATAAAGTGTAAAACTTTTCCATATATAAGAAATGCAAATATATTGAAAAATAAATGTACTCTTTGATGCTTTTCATATAGCTGTACAAAAACTAAGCTTTTATATGTGAATTTGTATTAAAAATCATTTAAATGAAAACAGAACAAAGTTAAATTAAGTTTGTAATCACTTTCAATCATATAATTTTAATATAAATCTCTCTGTTAATAAACCAATAAATAAATATACGAATTGAAAAAAAAACACACACTAAAGTATCAATATCAATTTTTATTTATAATATTATTTTTTTTTAATTTTGTTTATTTTTTAACAGGCAATTTGGATGCATAATTGCGTGGGTCAATTATATAAAAGGCATATTATGTGGAATTAAATTCTCGCTTCTTCCGAATGATTACCTCAGCAAATCAATAATAACTACAATGTTTTATGCTGGCAGTCTCGCTCTATATATAATGCCTATTACAGCATTGCCTCGCCGTTTTTTCTGTAGTAGCGTTTTACCAATGGATCGGCAATGGTGGCTTAGCATTTATTTCCTGCTCGTAGTCCCGTTTATCTCAACCCATGGATACTCGCGTTTAACGAACATGAAATGTCAGGTTTTAAATCGGACTAAATTTGATATCTCGCACTGTTCCATAACGGATCTGGGTCATGGTAATGTTAGTGCCAATGTGCATTTGAATGTCCATCAGCCACCAGACAAGAACTGGATGGTTAGCTATGGCATCTGGAGAGATCAAGGCGGCTATAAGCCATTTTTCCATAATATTTCACTGGACTTTTGTCGCTTCTTGAAGAATCCGAGTCGGTTGCAACTTTACTACTCATTTCATAATGCAATTCTGCCCTTTTCCAACTTGAATCACTCCTGCCCGTACACTGTGAGTACCTCATCTGAACAATCCAATCAGATTTGTAAACTATATATATATCCACAAAATTCATTTTAGCACGATATCATTGTGAAGGATTTAATGTTGGAGGACAAAATGTTTTCAGTTATACCGATACCCAAAGGTAAGTATATGCTTAACCTGAGGTTGGCCAGCAACTCCGTCTGGGCGCTTGATCTACGATTTTACGTTGATCTAGATGTAAGAAAATCACTTCGAAAGAGGAAGCCGGGTTAATTATTTTATAAAATATTTATGACGATCGAAAATATAAAATAATGTACTTCACGAATGCCAAGAATATTTTTTTTATTTTCCTTTTTATTTTCTCTTTAATTTGTAGTTTCAAGTCGTTTAGGTTAAGGTACGATTATTAAAAGTTGCATTGCATACTTTCGGGCTGCACGTTTAAATGGCATCGTCAAGCCCTGTTCATTGACAACAATCGTGCTCCGGTTGTCGATTATCTTTAAAAAAAAGTCAGTGCAAGAAAACTTTGCATCTTCGTTTGCTCTATAAATAAATCAGATTTTGTTAAATGTGAACTAAACTATGTCAAATATTTATCAGGCGCAGGTTTAAGTTTATAGCTGCTCTCCTAGGTTCATCCAAAAAACGATTTCGATGCCATGCAATTTTTATGGCTGATTAGGCTTGCCAGTTTTATAAGAGGCAATATGTAGCAATAAAAATTTTTGTTTCTAAATGATTAACTCACAAAATCTTTAATAATTACAATCGATTTTGCTGCACTTCTATATAGAAACCAGAGCAAGCCATTAAGGTTTTTTCTTTAGTATCGATTTGTGAGTGGAACTAACATGCGGTATATAATTTGTTACCTGTTACCTCCCGTTCATCTCATCCTATGGATATACGCGCTTCAAGAACATAAAATGTCAGGCATTAAATCGGACTAAATTTGATGTTTCAGCCTGTTACCTGAAAGATCTGGGTCTTGGAAATGTTGGGGCCAATGTGCATTTGATTGCTCGCAAGCCACCAGCTAAGGACTGGTTAATTAACTATAGCGTCTGGAGGGAGCAAGGCGGGTATAAGCCATTTTTCTATAATGTTTCATTGGACTTTTGCAACTTTTTGAAGAGTCCGAGTCGGCTGCAACTTTACCATCTGTTTCATCAGGCAATTCTGCCCTATTCCAATTTGAATCACAGCTGCCCGTACACTGTGAGTACCTCAGCTGAACAATTCAATTAGATTTGTGGACTATATATATATACACTTTAGCACGATATCATTGTGAAGGATTTTTTGCTGGAAGACAAAATGTTTTCAGGAATACCTATACCAAAAGGTAGCTATATGTATAATCTAAGAATAGCTGGAGACTCCGTTTGGGCGATTGATTTACGAATTTACATGGACATAGATTTAGGGAAGTCACTTCGTAAGAGGAAGGAAGGAGGGAGGAGGGGCTGACTAACTATGATTTATTAAATATATTCAAAATAAATTGGATTCACAGATGGAAAGTTTCCTAAAAACATATCAATTTTGGATTGGAAAATTAGTTTCCTTTATTCTTGGTAAATAAAACTAATAATAAGAGGAAACAATAAAACTTTTTCTTAATATGGCGAATAAGTATAGTATATATCATATATTATTTATTCAGATCTTATAAATAATCTAAAAATATGGGAATGCATTGTTTAGTCTATATAAAAAATACAGATATACGTTTGTTTAAAGGCTGTATTCCACTCAGGCGAAGCATAGTTATTAAAGCTAATAGCTTATTACTTTGTTAAGTTATATTCGACCAGACATATGTGATTTAGCTCTGCGGATTTTAAAGGCAAAATTATTTATGATACGAACCAGCCCAATGATCCACAGCTTATACAAAGTCTATCATGAGGTATTTATATGTGTATATATTTTAGCCACATTTATCTGACAGATGACGCGCTTCCAGTGCGCTGCGAACCGTGGTCAATCGCTCGACGGCGCATCGCGTGTGGGTTCAGCCGATAGCAATCAAATGCGCAGCTAAGCGATTGATAAGGCCCGGCGATATCTGGCGATAATCGTTAGCTACACGTTACACGTACATTTTTCAACGTACACCGGTAGCAGCTGACGGGCGGCAGGTGGCAGGTGGCACAAACGAATATTCAATTTTACTTCAGTCACAGCAAAGTCGCTCAGCTCGTCGCACGAGCAATTCGAAATATTGTTGCATACTTTTGGGTCGCGCGTTTAAATGGCATCGCGATCGCTGATCATCGACACAGACGATTTATATCCGATTGTGATCGCAAGTGATCTCTGCCAAATACATGACACACCACGTTACATATTCATGGCGCTGGTCACGGTGCTCTTCCTGTGCACCTTTCTGGGCAACGTGAGCGCCCTGTATGTGAACACCAGACGCAAGCTGCGGCCTTTTTTTCGTGCCTGCCTCATCTCGCTGGCCTGCAGCGATCTGATCTACTGCGTCAACTTTACCACCTCCAACATTGCCATGATCAATGCCGAATATCTGGAGTATTGGGTGGGCTACATGCTTATTGTGTTGAGCTTAATCTTAACTGTGGGCTCTTTCAGATTCTCGGCCCGTTCATGTGCAATACGGTGCCGTTTGTCAACACAACAACTGTGCTGTGCAGCAGTTTTATGCTGGTGGCCATTGCCCTGGATCGCTATATGGCCATACGGCGTGCTGCGATTGGCATTTGGAATCCAGGCTTAGTATTCTGCGCCGTCTGCATCGCCGGCATTTGGCTAGCCAGCATGGCTGCCGCGGTGCCTCTCTTTTTCATATATACCCCGATCCAGGTCTATATACAGAGCACGGATGAGCTGCTGATCAGCGAACTGGACCAGGTTACCATGTGCGTGGGCAGAAGGGTGAGTTGCAACTGCTTAACAGCAACGAATAGGGCTAGTATGCAGCTCGAGCACAAATATGTAAGTCTTATGGAATTGCCTTAGTCGTTTTCAAAAACTTACGCTAATTGCAATGATGTGGGATACTTATAAGACTCGCCGTTTTTAATGCTCTTCTAATTTGAGGTGCTAGAAGTTGTTAGATCAAACGATATTTTATACTGCGAGCTGTAAGCTAAAAAGTCAGTTACACGGAATTGTTCGAGCCTATTAATAATAATAATAATAGTTTAAGCATCGTTCAGCTGTCTGAAACATAAGCAAAATATGCATATAGAATAAAAAATAACGAAGGGAAAACCACATTCGGCATTTACATTCTCGAACGAATACTTTCCACCTAGCAAAGTGAATTTTACGCAAAGCGTGGAGCACGTGTGTACAAACTATTTTAAAGTGACTTTAAATCCAATCGGTTAAAAAACTGAATAACATAAAAACCTGTATGGCTGCATTTTAGAAATTTTCCAAGAGATTACCAGTCAGACAGTCAATCAATATATATGTATATAGCAAGAAGAGCTTTGTATAACGGACGAGCACTCGAAATAGCTAATTAATTTCAGGAATTCCATAAGCCCATTCACACATTTTAGTTATCTTGAGCTGCGTACTAGACCCTACATGCTGTTGACATGTGTTTACTATCTTATCGGGCAAACAATTTGCATTTCTGTTCATGTGTTTGCACAGACCCAAATTGGAATCTATAATAGTGTATCGCTCAGCCTCGTCTTTGTGCCCTGCATTGTGGCGTTCGTCTTTCTCAATGCGACCATAGCGCGGCAGCTGTGGCAGCGACGTCACCAGCAGCGCAACCTGCAGCAGCAGCAGAAAGAGCAGCAGAGGGAGCAGGAGCAGCAGCAGGAGCAGCCGCGTTTTGTGCATCTGCTGAGCAAGCCGGAGACCACCTATGCCATGATGACCGCCTTCAGTGTGGCTGCCTCCTTTGACATGAGCACTGCGCAGTTGGCGGGGCTGACGCCGCCGCCGCCGACGACGCCGCTGCCGGAGAAGGTGAGTCCCGCGGCAGCGGCACGTGTGGCACGCCATCGTCGCATGGTGCGCGTGGTGCTGCTGATGATGGGCGCGTTTATATGCCTGCGTCTGCCCGCCTGGACGTTTCTGCTGATGCGAGTGTATGGCTCCTTCTCCTCGCCTGTGTCCTGGATGTTCTACTTTAGCTTTGGCCTGCTCAACCTGACCAGCTGTGCACTGAATCCACTGTTCTACACCTTTCTACCGCAGACCATGCGAGTGCTGTCCAAGCTCAAGCGTGCGCTTAGCCGGCTATTCTGCTGCCGGCGGGCATCCAAGTTGGAGTCGGATGCGACCATGCCCCAGGAAACTGCAGAGCGGGGCAGGCGCTGTCTCTGCTGTGGCCTGCAGGTCACCTGGCGCTGCCATCTGAAGTCCCCACCGGCGGCAGCCGGAAGCGTCGCAACCCAGACTGTGGCAGTTATCGAAGCGCCCTCCGCTGCCAGCAGCCTGCCGCCGGTTGGTGACTGTAAGGACGACTGGAAGGACCTCGCCATCTATAACGAGAACTCGCTGCAGACAACTGCTTCAATGAAATCCTCCCGCTGAGAGAGCGTCATCAATCATTCATCGCCTGGTGGCAATTATGGAATTGATTAATGTGAGGCAACGACTTGTTGTTGATTGCGCTGATCAGTGTCACAGTTCACGCGTTTACTGATAGGCTTCAACGTGAATTTGTCTTTGACATCATACATATAACATATGTAGATTGTAAATAAAGCTACAGTAAAAACACAAACTATAATTTCCATACATTATATATACACATATATTATGATAATTATCATCGCGTTCTTAGAATCTGGCAATACTTTAGATTGTGTGAAATATAACCTTGAAATATATCTGGCAAATGAGTCATGGAATACATTTTATCTGCCAGCTCAGCATTCATACTATACAAATACACAATACTCTTTATCTGATATCCCTCAGAACTGCATGGATAAACTTTTATCTGTGAGAATTTACAATACAAATTGCATAAATTAACTTTCTATTTACAAACCTTTTTACATTTATAATTGCTTCATTATTAAAAAAAAAATTAAAATGTATAACATACTCAAATATGCTGTATCTGGAACGCTGAAACATTACAAAAGAAGAAGAATAATATGTTAAGAGATGGCTCAGATTATATTTCTAGAATTGCGCATTATAATTTTGCAATACGAAATTAGAGCATTTTGTTATTATTGTAATGCATTGCTAAGAACTTGTTTATTATCCGCCAATAACAATATAATTAATTAAATGTCATGCATATACACATGTATTTAACATTTAAACAATTTCCGTTCTTGAACAATAGCTCTGGACTTGTTTCAAGATAAGCATCACTCTAATTAATGTCAAAAATTGCTGAAGCGAGCAGAAGCTGCAGAACGATTTATCACGCTCCTATTCTGAATTTAATTCAATGAGCGTAACGAAAGCTTATGTGCACACCTTACTCTCTCACTCTCTGTCTTTTACACTCACTGTGAACAGCTGTTTGGCACTCGCAAGCTTGACTCAAAAGCTTCGTCAGTTTTGTTGCTGTTGCTCAGTTGTTGACGGCGTTTCGTGCTGAGCAGTTGGCTTGAAGTTTTGGCTGGTGAAGACGGCGCGACGTAAAGACCGTATACCGATAAAAGGCAGCCAATCGGGTGAAATCTACGACAACAACAACAACGGGTCGTGTCTTCTTTAATCAATGTTCGCCGTTCGGCATTTCAGCGCATGCCAAAAGTGTACGAAAATTAGTGAGAAAATTGTTAAATAAATAATACCAAGTCAAGCAAAGCGAAATGTAAATAAATGAGGCCAAGCGATAAAAGAGAGTCGCGAATTATGGCACACACCCGCTTATAAATAGGCAAGCGGCCACAAAGGAAACGAAAAGTACCAAAACAAAATCAAAGCAACAAGAACAAAGCGCAGCAAAAGAACGAGAGTTCACAGTGTTGAAATTTAAACAAAATAAAATTCAATTTGTGACAGGTAAAAGCAACAATTAAATTAAACTAAACTGAACCATTTCTGTAAGCATAAGCCTTAACCCAGTCAAAACACAAACCAGTTGCGTTTGTTACACATTTCGTCAGTGTTGGAAGAAAAAAAACATGATCAAAAAAATAAAAAAACATGTTCGCGCATTTCACTTGACCAATACCCGTTGTCGCAGCCGCACGCATGCGCAACTGTCGGACCGTAGCTTGGCAGCTTTGGCTTGCAAAATCTGAATTACGGTATGCCGACGCCGACGTCGACGTTGACGACGATGTCAAAGCTGTCAATGCAGCTGTTTCACTTTTCTTCTTTAGCTGTCAAACAACCGTATTGTTTGGGCCTGGCATTCTAAAGCTTCCTCGCGCCCTCTCACTCGCACCCGCTGTCTGCACTGCGCACTCTTTCAGGCAATTGCCGTTTGTCATGCAGCGCGCGCCATACGCAAGACTTCTTTGGGCCTGGTTACGCAGCGCTTTCATTTGTTTTAGCCGCCTTTGGCATTTCGGCCAGTCTTTTTTTCTTTCTGGTCTTCTGTTTTCCGTTTCTGTTTCTGTTTCTATATCAATCGTGAGTTACATACAACTCATTCGGTAGCCGCATACTTAATTAGCTAATGCTAACTAAAATCAAATATACATGTATTTTTGGCTTAAATATAGGCCGCCAGCCAGGGCCAAGTTGAAGTTTCACACATTATATATATGCTGAAAAAATAATAGAATACAGATCTGACAAAGCATGCAAATATATGGTCACACTGTAGACTGTGCTTTGTACGTGATTGCAATTTGTTTAATTTGAAATCATGTGCGGTATGTCGATTATTGTGATTCCGCATAAGTAATTCTCTTAAATAGAAACTTTAATCTTTAATCAGTTAACCTCATTATGCGATACATTTACATGTCGTTGTTTATTACTAATGCGTTAGCTTGAAGAAATTTAATACTTTTTTATAAGCTTCCTGGATTCAAAGGTGCTCAGGTTAGAAATATAATAAAAAATAATACTTAAGAAATAAATTAATTGAAAGCATTTTAAATAAACGTAAAATAAACCTTTTAAAACTTCTAAAAATAATAAATAAATAAATAAAATAATAGAATTGTAAAAATGATATATTAAAAATAATTTATTTATATGCATTTAAAATTTGTTTCTATACTAAAAACGCGAGATTTATCTTTTATTTTAACAATTTTTGTCAGTGTTTGCATGGCTCAAATCTTTAAAAACTGTACAAGATTTGTACTTTAATTGATTAATATATAATTATTATAATCAGTTTTTAAAAATTGATTATTCTCTTAATAATTTATAAATGTTTTGCTGTTGGCTCAATTTAGTTTTCTCTTCATAGAGCCAAGAAAAAAATTAATAGGCGGGACAAAAAATTATATATCTAATCGTTGTCAGTTTCATCCAATATTATTTTCTTATTAAATTTTGTTCAAATTGATTTAATGCGAAAACTTTAACATCTTCGCCTATAATTTTCAACTTTAAGCTTTTCAATAATATTTTGACAGCAAGTTTTGTATGACAGTAGATACCTTTCTTTATAAATGGGAAACTTTATTATGTGTTATGCATTCCCACACCGTGAAAATCACTTTCATTTTCTCCGGCTCTTAATAATTATAAAACATGAAAATTTTCTGACAAGCAGCGTGACGACTGCACCGTTATTTAATAGTAACAACAACAACAAAAACAACAACAATAACAAATGACAGCTGCATAATCGTTGGACAAGTCAGCGACTGGAACTGGGCTGTGTTTGGTATTTAGCACATTTCTCCAAAATATATTTAATAAAATTTAAAAAAAAATATAATTTCTAAAGAAAGTGAAAGTTTTTTTATGTATATTTTTTGGGCGCGCAAACTGTTCGATTGCGTTGCGGCCTTTGTTGTTGTTGTTATTGTTGCTGCTGTTGCTGTGGGCCAAATGGTTTTTTGAATAATTGCCTGGCCCCAGGGCGCGTGCATTGAATAAACAATGAAAAGGTTAAAAGGGAGCGAGCGTGCGAGAACGAGGGAGAGAGAGAGAGAGAGAGGGGGGGGGGGGGGAGGGCACGCTAGCTGCACATATGTCAAATATGTTTTTGGTCTCGAAGCTTTATTTGGCTTGACCTCAAAAACCCAACACTCAGCTTAACGCCCTAACCTTGCCCAAAAACTTCACATCAAACTAGTTTGGTTTTGATTTTTGATGAGGGGGCGGGGGTTATGGTGGTGAGAGGGGCGGAGCGTTTTTCCCAGCGCCCATTGAACTCGACTTTGTGTTTGCGTTTGTTTTGCCGCAGACACTTTCGATTTTCGCACAAAATGAAATCACAAATCTGAAAAGCATGAAAACACAATTTACAATAAAAGTCGCCGCAGTTTTATTTTTTCTTTCTTTTTTTATTTTTGCGGACCCTACTATTTATTTCTTATTACACGCCATCCCATTGACGATTTCTCTCCGCGTCTTGGAGTCTTCGCGTAGGGGCCAATGTACCAGCAGCCCATGCGCCGCACCTCTCTCCCTCGCTTGGCCCACACACCGTACTCCCGGACAGCTCCCCCCACTACCCTGCTACCCTTGGAGGGAGGAGGTCTCTAGCGACGTCTGGTCTTCTGTTTGGCCGGCATGCCAATTGCCAATTACCATGCGAGTGCGCAAATGCGCTGCGCGGCATTGAGACGCGCCGACAAGTCGACACCCGTCGCTGGCACCCCGTGACCCCTCTGTGAAGCCCCTGCCCCCAACCGGGCATTGCCAGCAGCGAGTCGGTGACTACATTGAAATTATGCATAATGGGCTCGCACAATAAACATACAAATGGTCTTAAGGTTATACGACAGATTCCACAAAAAAATTTAAAAAAAGAAGCAAACAAATCAATTTCTATAGCGACTATTCGTATTTTTTTTTCTACCGGGAGCGTCATGTGATACTCACACGAGATATTATCAAAGTCAGTCTGTGTCTTGGAAAAAACCAGAAAATTAATTTTATGATATTTTATATATCATAATAAACGTATTTGTCTGCTTTAAATCAAGTTTAATCAAATAAATAGAAACAAGTATGCCAAGCGAAAACATTTTTAATTTATATACATTAAATTAATCCCAATTTAGAAAAGGAATTTATATGCGTCATCAGGTCCATGAAATTCCGGAAACTATGTACAAACAGATATATTCTTCAGTTTATCATACAAAGTGAACAAACTTACTATAAAATAAAAGATTCTTGAACTGCATATCCTATTCTGGAAGCTACATGTCAATTTTGGTGACTCGCCGTTAGAAACGGGGCAAGTTATAGATTACCTGAAACAAAATCATACTGCATGGACACTAAGAGGATATTCGTTCAAAATTTGCATTCTCTAGGTTCTTTATAGGTTCTGAGATCGACGCGTCCATGCATAAGAACATACGGACGGACATGGCTAGATCAACTCGGCATTGATGCTGATTCCTTCTGCCTGTAACATACATTTGCACAAAAATATTATATCCCTTTTATCCATTTTCAATAGGTATAAATGGTATAAAAAAAAAACTAAATAATTTTTTGTAAAGTAAAGATCAAAACTGAATGCAATGAATGAATGAAATGGTATAAAAAAAAACTAAATTATTTGTTGTAAAGTAAAGATCAAAACTGAATGCAAATCCACAACTTACTTAAATATTCTACAACTTTGAAAACTAGCCTCTAAATGTTTAGAACTCTCACATTATTAAATATCCCATTTATTTAAAAGTACGTAACTACATGTATTCATATCGCAATAACCAAAACATGGCTATCATTGGCACAAATGGTAAACCTTCAGCTATTCGAAGTCCCAGACATTGTATTTATATAGATGAAGTGAATATACATTTGTTTATTTACAATTAATTCTCGGGTTACGATTTTGTCATATTTTAAATGAAGTTGTTTTAAAGACTCAAAGCTAACTATGCACATTACATATGAAGCCTAGCTAATAAATTGAGAACTTGTTTAATTTGTGATTCCAATTTTTACAGAATAAGTTTCTACTTATACTTCTTCTCCATGATTATGTTGCGCATACGCCTGGTTAGCCCGTTTGTTAGCTAATACATTGTCAATTTCTCGCAGCTTGTTGGGGGTTGGCTTCAACATCAATATGTCAATTTTTGGACATAGTACGTGCATCCACATTTTGACAGCACTTAAAAACTCGTTAACTGTAAAATGTCAGCCATGTTTAAGCACCCACAATACAGCAGACAACAGCATTCAGCCATGTCACATGGAGTCTGTGCGAGTGTGTGTGTGTGCGGCTGTGTGTGTGTGGGTGTGTGGATGCAGTCAACTGTTAATGGCCATTAGAGGCAAACTGCAACTACAGCTGCAACTGCAACTGCAACTGCTGCACGTTTGTGTTTAACTAGCGTGATTTATGGGATATTCGTTTGTTTATCTCCGACTGTTGCTCTCATTTTTATTGTTTTTGGTGTTTATTTTGGCTCGTTTGAGTCAACAAATGCCCAGCTTTAACTTATCCGTCTAATTTACAGCTGGCCAAGATTGACATATTTTTTGCTGCTGCTGCTGCTGCTGTTTTTGCCTTCATCAGCTTCATTGGGCAAGAGGCATTTGATATTTGAACAGCTTCTTCTAATTGCCCGCAGCTTCTTCTCGTTATTCCTCATGGGTCTCAGTTTGTTGATCTCTGGATGCTTTTACAATTTTATTTTTCAGCTCGCCGCAAGTAAATATTTGTCAAACGTCTTTAGCCCTTATCAGCAAAATGATTTATACTTATTGCCTTTGTTATTGAAACGTGCATGATAAGCGCGCTTTTAAAATCTGGCAGCTAGAAATGGAAATAATGGAAAAAAAATAATAATATTAAAAACAACCAATTAATATATTGAAACTCGTAATTTTACATTCTTATTTGCAAAACTATTTTTAAATATTACTTTCTTTAATAATAATAATAAAATCATTTATCATTTAATAATAGTAATAATAATAATAACAATAATTAAAATTATAATAATAATAACTAAAATAATAATAATAATAAAAATAATTAAAATAATAATATATAAAAATAATAATACAAAAAAAAAAAAAAGTTTAAAATATTTTAACGAAACTCATAACTTTCAACATTCAATTGTTATTGGACGGTTCTTGGGTGGGTTTAAAGTAAAACTACTATAAAAGCAGGAAATCTATATATAGTTTTACTTTAAACATAACACTTCCAGCTTCGGGCAGGTTTGATAAAAACCAGCTTGCTTCCTTGGGTTTTCTCGACTTCATTGAAAGTTTCTCTTATCTTGCAATAACTTCTTATTTGTTCGCTTTAGCCTTTTTATATGGCTTATAACTCTTGTATAACTCATTTATACCCCTTGCATATACCTCTTACCCTTAACATATAAATTGCCAAGTGAGGCTTCCATAAACTGGTTTTCACTTCAGTAAATTCAAGTTTCGAGTATTTCCATAATATTTGCCAATTTTCGATTGCCCACATAAAAAAAATGTTTACATGCTCGCATGTCCATAAAAATGCAACAACAAATTGAAAACAATTTGCGCTTAATTTATGCTGTGCCCAAAATATGTCTTGCCAGAATCGAAGAATATGAAGAATGTGAATTGTCACGACGTTGGCATCCATAATATTGATGACTGCTCAATAAACAAAGGCACACACACATGCACACACTCATGCATATATATATATATATGTGTTTATTTATAATATATCCCATGCTTGACAACATTTATAAACAAGTTGAACATAATAATGACTGTTCATATTTCCTTTTGATTTGGTTTTTGTGTAACGCACGCATAATGTAGGTCAAGTGGCTACCTGGCCGAGACGAGACGCAGTGGTGGTGCTGGTGGTGCTGGCGGTGCTGGTGGCAGCGCCACAATTATGACACAGGCCATGCCACAACGGAGATCGAGCCGGCAAATCTGCTGGCTCATTGCGGCACTTACCGTGGCTGGGCTTACAGCTAGCGATGGTAAGCAATGGAGCCAGTGCAGCCGAGTAGAAAGTTCTAACTTTGTCCCGCCTTTTAGCTCTGCCCTTTCTGTACACAAACGCGCGGGCGCCCATCAACTGGACGCAGCCGGAGCTGGACGATTGGCAGGTCGAGGTGCAGCCGCGCAGCATATTGCCGCACGTGGAGCTGAAGCGTCATGCGAATCGGACCAATAGCCAGCCCGCCGATAGCGATGCGGAGTTCCTGGAACGTTTGCGCGTTCTGCGCCAGAATCGCACCTCGCCGCGCATGCTGTGGTACGATGCAGCCGCCGGCGATGGCCTCACCTATCCGCCTTTCGTGGACAAGGCTCTGAAACTGTTCAATCTGAAGCAGGTGGCCTTCGAGATTGAGAACAGCGTCCTGTCCAAGGTGTCCTGCACGGCGTGCAAGGCGGGCGCCGGCCTGCTGCAGCACTACATCAAGTCCGGCAAGACGGATGCGGAGCTCATGAAAATGATTGCCCAGTACTGCACCAATCTGAGCATACAGAGCCCGCGAGTCTGCGAGGGCGTCGCCCAGCTCTTTGGCAGCGAGGTCATCTATGTGCTGCAGCGCGTCAATCTGGGACCCGATGAGCTGTGCAGCTTCATCATTGGCGACGGCTGCGGCGATGTCTATAATCCCTATCACGAGTGGGAGGTCGTCTTTCCGCCGGTGCCCAAGCCGCCGCGACTGTCGGAGCTGCCGATGCCGCTGGAGGCGGCGCCGTTCTTCAAGGTGCTCCACATCTCCGACACCCACTACGATCCTCACTATGTTGAGGGCGCCAATGCGGACTGCAATGAGCCGCTCTGCTGTCGCCTGAGCAGCGGTCGCCCCGCCAATCCGAATGCGGCGGCGGGCAAGTGGGGGGATTACCGCAAATGCGACACGCCCAAGCGGACCGTGGACAATATGCTGGAGCACATTGCCGAGACCCACAAGGATATTGACTATATACTCTGGACGGGTGATCTGCCGCCGCACGATGTCTGGAATCAGACGAAACAGGAGAATCTGGAGATCATCAAGGAGACAGTCAAACAAATGACCGAGAAATTCCCCGGCGTGCCCATCTTCCCGGCACTGGGCAATCACGAGAGCGCGCCGGTCAACAGTTTCCCGCCACCCTATGTCAACCAGGTGGACATATCCATCAATTGGCTCTACGACGAGCTCGACGTCCAGTGGCGTCGCTGGCTGCCGCAGAGCGTCTCCCACACGGTGCGTCGTGGCGCCTTCTACTCGGTGCTGGTCCGTCCCGGCTTTCGCATCATTTCGCTCAACATGAACTACTGCAACAACAAGAACTGGTGGCTGTTGCTCAACTCCACAGATCCCGCCACGGAGCTGCAATGGTCAGTCAGCTAACAGGGATGTCCAGTCCAAAAAAATCCACTAACATCTACCCCGTATCTTTCGCTTTAAGGTTCATCTATGAGCTGCAGAGCGCCGAGTTTTCCAATGAGAAGGTCCATGTCATTGGCCACATACCGCCGGGTCATTCGGATTGTCTGAAGGTCTGGTCACGCAATTTCTACAAGATCATTTCGCGCTATGAGAGCACCATTACCGCTCAGTTCTATGGACACACGCACTTTGATGAGTTCGAAATGTTCTACGATCCACATGATTTGAGTATGTTTTTCAGTTTTCATCACTTCTTATATAATATTTAAGACACATTTTTCTTAATAATTTCATTTGCATTTTGAAAGATTTTTGTCTTGTCACAATTCTTTCTAATATTTTTGTCCTCATTTCATGTTTTTACTAAATTAATAAATAAAATAAACAAATAATAAATTTTATTTAAATTCCAGCGCATTCAAATAGCATTGCCTATATCGGACCCTCCGTATCGCCCTATTACGATCTGAATCCAGGCTATCGCATTTACTATGTAAGTTAAAGGGAAACCCCACTAAATGACGACAATTCTATCTTCCTTTTAAATTCTGCATGAAATATTCAAAATTAATTTTCAAAAAAAGAAACATAAGCAATACTTGGTCAGTTATTAATCAAATGCCATTTATTTTTAGGTGGACGGTGATCACGATACAACGACGCGTCTGGTCATTGACCATGAATCCTGGATAATGAATCTGAAGGAGGCAAATCTTTATGGATACCCGATCTGGTACAAGCTATATACAGCCAGAGCTGCATACAATATGAAGGCGCTGCGGCCCAGCGATTGGGACAAGCTGCTCAACGAGCTGACCGACAATCAGGAGCTGTTCGAGATGTACTACAAGTAAGCCAACAGTCTGGAAGAGACCCGTAATTATTCCTCAGTATTATATATATGTATATGTTTTATTAGGAATTACTGGAAGAACTCGCCGGCGCGACCCACTTGCGATGCGGAGTGCAAGAAGCGCATGTTGTGCGATTGCAAGAGCGGACGCTCACACGATCGTCGCCATTTCTGTGCAGATGTGGAGTCGAAGATCGATGAGGGCTCCTCGAAGTCATGGAAGTCTTGGTTCTATCGCGGACTCACCAATTCGTATGTATCATAGATGTTTCTGTTTGTTTTGCTTTGTTTGGTGCTGGTTTGCGAACATTTTGTGCTCATTTGTGTCCAATTGTTCCATTGTAATTGTTGTTGCTTTTGTAGTTTTGCACACACACACACACACACACACACTGTCTCGTATAATTGCCACAAATAATTTCACATACTTTACTCTCTCTGGTTTGGGCACACATTCATATAAACAGCGGGGAAGAGAACAACGTGGAGCCGGAGAGCACAAATCCCAATGGCTGGGAAGGGTTGGATGTGGTGTTTGGTACATACGGTTGAGGTCAAAGCGACAAATTGTAAATATTATCAACGAATATTACAAATATTTATGTTTAAGCACTGACTAAACGGGTTGCTGGTGATATTCTGTAAACCTTTAATTAAGCAAATTTGACAATAAACTTTACAAGATTTTAACCTTAATCCGCACACATGCTTCCGGTTTGTTTGTGCCTATGTTCGTCTGTCACAGCTATAGCCTGATTTCGTCCATCACCTACCTGCCCAAGTATCTGCTGAGCTATGGCTGAGCTGCCTTTCGGCCATGTCAACGAGTCAACTGCAAGTCAAAGTGCATCGAATCAGTGCAAATTTCAAGGCCTACGTAATAAGTTTACTATGTGATAATTAGTGCTTAGACTAAATTAGATACATATTACGTTTACTCCATGCACGTCACAATGCACCTGCCCCTGTCCCTGCCTCTGTCATGGCCGTGCAGCCAGCAGCTGCCACCCGGACAGAGCCGCATCCGCACAGCTACCTTTTCTCACATCTAAACTGAGTCAATGAACAATAGTCATTAAATTAGTCGAATCATCGTCATCGTCGTCGTTGTCGCCGTTGAGAGGGCGACAGCGGCCAGCCCAGTGGGCTGGTAGCGTCTCGCGCCTGTTGTATGCAAAACAATATAACCCGTTGAACAAATTACTTAATAGTCTTTTAGACTTAATTAATATAAGTTTCTAATACGTAAATAAAGTGCAATTATTTTAATGAGATTATACAAATATTTCATCAGTTTTCTTTTATGTATTTCAATTACTTTAAATAACAATAATTTTTTTAATAACTTTGCATTTCTTTGTTTCGTAATGGATTTCCAAGCCCAAAGTTTCTTTCAAAGAGAAAGCAGTGCTGTAAAATGACAGTTTTATTGGCGCTCAACAGCTCTGTTAAGTAACAGTTGGAACAACATAGCCTTAACAGTAACAGCTGTTGTTTAATAAGCATTCGTCTGTTAAGTTAACACTAGTCATTTGAATGTAACGGCTTGACTTAACAGAAGTTGGCCGCAGCGAATAAGTTGCGCGCCGAAAGTCACAAGGCGAATTCGGAGGTGACTTCACATTTAAAAACTATGGTGAATATTTTATTTGAGCGGTTAATCAAAACAAAGCATATCGAAGAATACTTAATAAGATAATTATATTTAATGAACATAGATAAAAACAAGAACCCTTATAATTAAGCTAAGCTCGTAATTGCTGAGTTTGCTGGCAATATCTTGATAAACAGAATATGTAGTCATACATAATTTCTTTTTCAATCGATTTTTCAATATATTTTGCTTATATTTAGGGATCACAGTGAAATTAATATATGACAGACTTAATAGAATATCTTGATAAACAACTAGTTTGTTTATTAGAGAACTTAATTTTCGACCGATTATTCCTATGGAAGCTGTATGATATAGTAGTCCGATCCGGCCAGATTTAACATCAGCAAAAAAATACGCATCTATGGCAAGATTTATCAACATTTTTTACTAGTTTCCTTTAGGTTTCCTATATACTAGAAACGAGGCTGAGCATGAAGATTCTGTAAGGGTATTTAATCGTCAACAATCCACAGATAATGCTTCTGTATTATTTTTTATTTCAAAGTAGAGTAGTATTTGTAAACTGTGCCGATTTCTGATAACCAGCATGGCCACTTGGCTGTGCATTCAAGCGGCCAAGACAAGGTTAAGTCCTAAGACAGAGAGACAACTGCGGCTGTGTGTATGAGTGTCTGTGTGTTTGTGTGGGGGGAGAACACATGCATTATCTGTCTTATTAGGTACATTTACAATGCACACTTTCAGCTTACAGTTAATTTGCGATGGCAAACAGAACGGCGGCCAGGAGAAAGCCAATGGGCCAACACTATTAGACCACAATGCAAATCCTTTGTGATTGCTTCAGCTAACCAGACGCCCAGGCCCGCACCCACACACGCAGCTAGCTGAGCAAAAGGACCGTCAGGAATCAGGTTTCAAGTTGTTGTTGTTTTTATTGTTGTTGTTTTTATTGTTGTTGTTTTTATTGTTGTTGTTGTTGTGTCAACCCGCTGCTTGAGTTGCGTGCGTGTTTTCCCGCATTGTAGATAAGACACGCAACGCAGCGCAGTCGACGCTGGCGTCGGCGTCACCGTCGACGTCATCACCTTGTGCCTGCCAATGCATGGGTGGGCGTAATGCATATGTGTGTGTGTGGGAGTGTGTGTGGGAGTGTGTGCTTGGCCTGTGCCCCGCCAGCTTGTCATTATCCCTTTGCCACGCATACACAGACACACACACACACACAGACGCTGAGCAAGCAAAACAATTCCGTTTACATTTCCCACATTTCTCACACCCTAGCACACACACACACATACATACATACAAACAGTTTCATGTGTGTGTGTGGCGTGCGCCGCTTTTTGCTTTGCATACTTTTTGGGGCGCCGCTGCTGGGAACCGCACACATGTGCGACAAACAAACAAACAAACAACAACAATGAAATGCGTGCAAATTTTTAGAAAAATATACAAACACACATCAGCTCAGAGCCGGGCATTATCTCTCTCTCATGCAGCAGGCGGCTGGGACAGGACGATGCCGCTTAAATGGCGCTTAACATATTTGGTTTTTTCCCCGTTTTTGTTGTTGTCAACATTGTTTGTCCTGTTTGGTTGATTGTTGTTGCTGCTGCCACGATGAAAAATAAATTTGCGATTCGACAAAGCACTAGAACTCACACACACACACACACAGACACACCGACACACTCACATGTTAACCCATTACTAGCAATAGTTTAAGGGATTTTAAATTTTCTAAAACGAACTTTAACCAATTAAAGTTATGGTTGGTTCGGCTTAAAGTTTACAGAAATCATATGAAATCAGGTACTGGTTCGTGCCTTGGCTTGTGACATGTTTTACAGTTTCCAAAAATGTTTCAATTTGTGATATTTACAAATTCTTATTTAGGTTAATTAGTTAGCTCTTTATTTTAATATATAAAATAAAATGTTTTTAAATAATCAGCTTCGGTTCAAGTTGATTCAGTTCAGACGTCATTCGGTTATTGAGATCCTGCAAAGATTTTTTAGGCTTTCCGCACGCCAGTCCCTGTGAGTATTATGACAGCTGTGCTGCGCGCGGGATATCGGTTGTTAATATTAATATTTTCATAAGCTACGCGTCTAGTTAATTTATGGATTTAAATATTCACAGTGGAGTACAGGGTATGCACAGTGTATATACCTATAGCAAACAAATTTAAACAATTATAAATTTTGAGTTTAAGTCTTAAGCTTCAAATTAAAAGCGTTTATCAGGACAGATGGGCAGGCATTCGAAGAGCAGCACCGTACTAAAATACTTTATTTATCTTGGTTAACAGAGTATAACAGAATAACAAATATTTAATTGAATAAGTGAAGTGTTAAGAATAATTCAAACAAAACTTTTATTATAGAAACCAGTTAATTGAAACTTGCACATGCCACTTAAAAGTTTTTTGCTGTTATGCAACACTGCATTTCGTACAATTGACAATTCTCAGCACTTCTCGGAAAATTAGATAAGCATGACAGTTCTCAACACTGGCTCGATGGCTCAACTTCGCAAATAAAGAAGCTCTTGCCGTTACGCAACACTGTATTTGGCTGCTGCCATGAAAATTGTGTGATTTTAGGACAGGGTCATTGCGTTTGCCCTTCATACAAATTAATTATATTTTTAATGGCTTTCTTTATATTTACTTAATTTAATTAATTTGTTTTAGCTTATTCTCTTGCTGTCAATGGGTTAATGTGCATGTGGAATCGAGTTTTGGGATCTAATTTGAATGCCGTAACACGTTTTTAAATAAATGAACGCATTAATTATTTTAGCACACATAAATCGCTAAGCTGTCGATGTCGATTTCAATGTTTTTCCACTCATGAAACGCCCTGTTGCCACCCCCAACACACACCCACACACACACACTCATCCACACATTTTTATTAGCTACGCATAATTGCTGCGGCAATAAAGTTGCTGCTGTTGTAGCTGTTGCTGCTGCTGCTGTTGCTCCCAGCTCGGACATGGCACATTGTGCCGCGCGTGACCCGACAACATAACGACATTTAAGTGGCCACCACAGCTGCGGGCAGTGCGAGAGCGGGCTGTGTGTGGGTGTGGGCATGGTGGGCGTGGCTTAACCATGTTTGGCAACATGTTACAAAAAATTGATGCGACGGTTGTTGTTGCTGTCGTTGTTGCTGCAGCTGCACACACACTATTTATGGCTGGCAAAAAACCTTGTCAAATATTTGCCAAAATTTATTGACGGCCCGTTGTACACGCAGCGTATGCTCAACGCCTTAAAGCCCCGCTTCCGCCTAGAGCCAATGCTGCTGCCAGTAGCAGTAGCCACAGCAACAGCAGCAGCAGCAGAAGCAAGAATCAATCCTCTCATCCCGCTGGGCGACAGCACGGCGCTGCGTTTGATAGCTGAGTGAGCAGCAGCAACTGTCATTGTTGTTACCCGTGTAAAACGCAAAAGAAAATTATATTTAATTACTCAAGCAAAAGCATGACAACTGCGAATGTCGACAGTCAGACGGGCGCGCGGAGGCGTACGGGGCGGATGCGGGGGCGGCCTGGGGTGCGGACTGTCAGCTTGTCAGCAGCAGGCGCCAATGCCGAGCGGCTGGTCAGTTCTTTATTTTCTGTCGTTGTTTTTCCTTTTTTGTTAAATTTATATTTAAATTGTGGATATAAATATGCTCGAATCTGAGCTGGCACTGAGAAGCGAGAAGCGAGCAGCAGTGCAAGCAGTCGCTGCAGTTGGCAGCGCTGTCAGCAGCTAAACAAAAGCCACACACAAAAATATGGCAACACGAGAGCAGGAGTCTACTGCTATCTGGGGTGTGTGTAAGTGTGAGAGTGGGTGGGGTGTGTGTAGAAGTGGGTGTGTGCGTTGCTTTTTATTTTCGGAAAAACACCCAAAGTCTTCAGTTGTGGTTGTTGGGGTAAGGTCAGTCCAAACTGTTTGGCTGAGTCAAGTGTTAACCAGCTTTCAAAGTGGAGATAAGATAAGTTTGCGAGCCTTCGCGAGTGTTATCTGAAGCATACAACAATTATTAACATTAACAACATATATAAACTTTTATTAACAAGT